TCAATTCCCTTTCTCCCCGTGATGCAGGGAGAGGAAGGTGGCCTCGACCCAGCGTGCTACTGAAAACCCAGGGTTTCTGTGATTTGAATGTGACTCTGATGCCTTAGGTTCTAGAAGCCCCCTTCCTAGCTCCTCACCCCTTCCTTGCCATTTCCTGGGACTTGCTGCCAATCTAGGCCTTGCCGGCTTGTAGATTGACATCATCCTTGCTATTGGTTATAACTGACCTGATAAAGCACTTACTGGAAAACCCTGACGATTTCACTTTTAAAACACATGATTGAAATGATTTCCCTTAATATCCTAGCAAACCTCCACACAGCTATTCTGTAGTCGAGGCAGGCTCCATTTTAATCTACTCCAGAGCCACTTACATACTCTGCACCTTGAATGAGATTATCCACATCAGTTTCCTTTCCTGAGTTTCTGCAAAAGCTACAAGTCAAAAGTATAATTCTGTTCCCGGGGTTAATTAGAAAACGGTGTACTGGAGGCACCTGATCAGTTAAATTAGTTTTGAAAGACACAGGGTTGTTTTTTTTTAACTCTGCCAGTTCAAAGTCCAATTAGTTTGTTGCCTTTTGAGTGCCCTTTGAAAAGCCTGTGTGACGAGTGAGGCCTATTACATTTAGCTCACAGGGCACCCGTGGATCGGTCCTAATATCTTGGCCAGGGCAGAGCGCTCTCTTGAATGAAAGCCACCTTGTTTTGTTTCTAGCTGACAGATAAACCTGTTTTCCTGCAAGTACAACTTATATTCGACCCGATAGACTTTCCACTGCCAACGGCTCCATGACAAGTTCTGGCCCCCAGAAAAAGTTAGAGACCTAGCGCCAGGATGTCTGCAACCTTGGGCCTGGATCTCTAATACTTAGAGCTGCCATTGTTTGAGTCCCCATCTGTACCAGCTCCTGCCTCAGGTGCTTTGCACGTATCACCTCTAATCCTCACAGCCACCCTGCCTGGAAATGTAGCCATTATTACCCCCACTTTTGCTAATAAGGAAACAGAGGCTAGGAGAGGCTAAGTTCCCCAGAGTCACACACACAGAATAAGCAACAGTGTCAGGATTCATTCTCGGGCTAGTTCATCCACATCTCTTATTCTTTCCCACCCTGTGGCTTGGAGAAGAGCCCCCTGTCCCTTTTGGTGCCTGCAAGGTAGGTCTCAGTGCCTGAGAAGATGGGGCTATTTCTCCCTCCTTGGGAGAAATGTGCTCACCCCATGGCAGATGCAGGAGACGGAGCCAAAGGTTTTCTGCAGGCGGTGAGTGGGGCCGTGACTCATCCTCCCCCAGAAGAGTGGTGGGCTCAGGGGTGAAGGCCGAGTGGTGCTGTGAGACAGCAGCGGACTTATCGCACGAATGGAGAGAAAGTACAAAGGTCAGGGCAGCAACAAAACAAACCCGAATAACTGCGCCTGAACGCACGGCCAGGGGACAGCTCAGGCAGATAATTGACTAATCCAATTTCCAGCAGGCTCTGCAGTGTGTCTTTCAGACACCATCATTTTCCACCAGGCCTCCAGCTTCTCCAGGAGCCCAGATTTCCACCCATACCCTCACCCCTACCTCACCTGCATTGGTGTGCCTATGCATCCTTCCCAGTCCATGAGCATTTAGTTCCAGCCTTCCCTCCCCTCCCCCATACCTCCTCAGGTCCCCACTCCACCCCTATGCCCCCAACCCCACATTCCCTTCTGGTCCGCTGGCATAGCAGAGGTTAAGAGCATCGGTTCTGAATTTACAGGACCCTAAATCCCTATTCTGCCACCCACAGGTTGTTTGTGTGACCTTTGGTGTGTCACTTAAGCTCTCTTTCCTCGTCTGTAAATGGGGATAATAACAGGTAACAGTGTCTACCTGTTATGGGATGAATTATACCCCCCCCTCAAATATTCGTATGTTAAAGCCTTACCCCCTAGTACCTTGGAATGTGACTGTATTTTGAGATAGGTGGTTAGAGGGGTGATTAACTTAAAATGAGGCTGTTAGGGTGGGACCTAATCCAAGCTGACTAGTGTCCTTATAAGAAGAGAAAGGGACACCAATGGTGTAAGCACCGAGGAAAGACCACGTGAGGACAGAGTGCGAAGGTCCCATCTACCAGCCAAGGAAAGAGGCCCTGGAAGACATTAATCCTGACTACACCTTGATCTTGGACTTCCAGCCTCCAGAATCATGAGAAATAAATTTCTGTTGTTATAAACCACCCAGCCTGTAGTACCTTGTTATGGCAGCCCTAGCAAACCAACACACTACCTCATAGAACTGTTGTGCAGATTCAACTAGATGTGGCATCTAAATTGCTCTGCAAAGTTCTAGGCTCCGAGGTGTTTTCTATAAGTATTGCCACTGTGACTATGCAGCCACTTAACTTCCTTTACCACTCATTTGTTAAGTTCTTTGGTATCTGAGATCTGTCTCCCAGGCCTTGGGAAGGGTTAAGCTCCTGTAACAGTGAAATAAGCTCTTTGAGGGCCCAGGTTGTGGATTTCTTGCCTTCACTTCCAAACAATCCCAGTGCCTAACTTATAAGAGGTGCTCAAGAAACATTTGTAGGTACAATATTCTTTCAATAAATATTCAGGGACTAGAGCAGGGAACAAAGCAAACAGTCTCTGCCCTCAGGGAGTTTATGGTTTAGCAGGGAAGGAAGAGACATTGAACCTGTCATATCATTTGCTTTGAGTGGTTTCCTTTTTCAGTCAAGAAGGGGGTGCTGGCTTGAGCCCTGGTGATCCCAGTGTGAGAGAAGATGCCAATTAGCACGCACTGTGCGCCTACTATGTGCCAGGTATCATAAGAAACACTCTTCTATGTTAACTTATATAATGTTCACAACAGCCCCAAGCAGTTGGCTCTGTTATTTTAGTTTTGCAGATGAGAAAACTGAGGCACAGCGAAGTAACTTTCTTAGGCTCACGCAACTTATAAGAGTTAAAGCTGGGATTCAAACTCAGAATCTGCATCAGAGCCCCAGATATGAGGAGGAGTGTGTGATGAAACCCTGATCAAAGACAGTTCTCCCAAGCTTGTGACTTTGTTTCCCTGGCTGGGCACGAGCCGCTGTGCCAGGGGCTGGTGGACCTGGACTCCCCTCTATGCTGTAGAATGAGGCCTGAACAGGGGGAAGCACTCCCATGATGGATCCCCACTCTTTCCCTCCTGCCTTCAGGAGGGCTTTGTCCCACAGCTCCTGGGCAGGGGACCAAGACAGACCCCAACCAAGAAGTGTATCCACGAGAGGGCGTTATCTCAATGTCCCCTGCTTTGTCTCCCTCTGGCTGTGGATCTCACTTTGTTGATGTAAACAATAGGACCAGAAGGGACTTTGCTTGTTTTCTTCCACATCTCCTGCATGTTAATGAGATGCCCCTCATAGTGTTAAGTCTGTGTAAGAGGCTTCCGTCAAGGCCTAGGAGATGGATAGGAGATCTGAAGGGTTCCAGATTAAGCAAACACTGCAGGGAGTGGAGAACCAGGGACGGGCACTCAAAGCCTGTCTCCAAGGGAAAAAGCTCAGGCCTAGAGAATTTGTGAAAGTTTTTGGAGAGAGATGTTAGAGGACTGTGAGTCCCACCCCACGCACGTGGGGCTGAATGCCTGCCTCTCACCTTGCCCCCAGGGACAGCAGGGGCGGTGGGTCCCTTGGAGAGCCTGACATGTGCCTCCTGATGCCTGGGGATCTGACTCCAGCCTGGAAAACTGAAAAGATGAGCAGTGGGCTGGCTGGAGGCTCTGGCTGCAGAGCAAAGGCAGAGCAGCTGCTGCCTGGTAATTCTAGGGCCAAATGAGGCCCCAGTGCTTCCAATGGATGGGCCAGTCATAGGTCTCTGAGAGAAAGAGACTAGCAAAGGGTCATCCAAGCAGCTGTCCAAGAGGGCGTCCTGGAGGGACAAACAAGACTGCAGCAGAGAGACGCCGGGGCACCTCCCAGGAAGAAGCAAGCCACCAGCCAGAGGTGGAAAGCATTCACCCTGGTTGACAGAGCTGGAGGGAGGAAGGAATCCCCCAGAGACAGGGTCTCCCATGAGCCCAGGAACGACCCACCAGAGTCCTCCCAGGTTCAGAGAGAGCCAGAGGCCTATCCCAGGAGGCATGAGCCCCAGGTCTGAGCCCCTTGCGCCCTCACCTCACCTCCTCCCCTGCTCTTCTCAGGCCTGGGGGCGGGGTCAGAAAGTCCAGGTGGCAACTGGGGTAGGAAGGAGTAGAAGGACAAAGCTGGGAAGAGAGGAGCCAGTGCCATCTCCTCCCCAGGGGCGGGCCTCCTGTCTGCAGCAGCCTGCTGCCGACTGCCATGACCAGTGCACAAAACCGGGATTGGGGAGGGGGGTTCATTTGCATGGCAAAGCCTTCTTCATTTAACCCAAAGCATTCACCTTTGAAGAAACATCAGCTTTCCTTTAAAGAGAGACCTTCTCTGGTACATTTTAATTGTTTTGGATGAATGATATTTTGTATATCTCTGTCTCATCACCACAACTGAAAACTGAGCTTTTGTGAGCAGGCTCTCCAGCTCATTCTCCTGTGGTCCCCTCCATGGGGCCCATCACCAGAGACTCTGGAAGATTCGATGACTCACGCAGTCCTTTCAGGGTCACGCTGATTGTACAAAGGGAGGTAGGGGCATAAGCAAGGTCAACCCACTCCATCTTCAGATTTCTCCAGCTGAACAAATATATAAACCATCCCTCAGCCTTTTCTCTCCCTGCGTTTTCACGCAGTAGGTGGCACCAATAAAAATACCACCTCGTGTTTGTATAGCACTTTACAGTTTCAAAGCCACTCTCACATCCCAAAGTCACTCTCCACCCCCAAACTCATCCCAAGTCATTCCCATCCCGTTTCCACCCACACTGCTGCTTTTCCTGATGGCCAGCCCCGTGCCATTCTCTGCAAGGGAGAGGCCGCGTGCCCCCTCCCGGGGAGTCCACGTGTTATGGGAAGTGTTTCCTCATAAAGAGTCAGCCGGCCAGAAATGTGGGCAGAGAGCAAAGGGCAGCGTGTTCAGGTTCTGTTTATTATGTCCTCACAGCCTTGTTTATAGTAGAGGTGAGTGACATTATTCCACTTTGCATGGTAATGGAACAACTCAATGAGGACTCCATCAGCCAAGCGGTTTCTACAGCAGATGAGCTGCTACAGATCTGTGCCGCCACGTGTGACTCGGTGAGTGCTACCACGCCTGGAGGGCACATCAGCCCAGCCACCTTCTCTGTACCTGGCAGAGGGGAGGGAGCAGAGGGGCAGAAGGGAGGAAGAATCAAGAAAAGAACGGTTTATTGAGAAGACCAGGACCCCACACCAGGGAAGGCCAGCGGCCCCATCCTGCCATCTCTCATCTTGGTCCACAGCATCTTGTGAATCCCAAGAGGTCACAGGGACAGGAAGACATCTCTGCTCTTGGCTTCTTCCTTCACAGTCTCATGCCAAGTGGCACAGGCTCCCCACGCCAGGGGCGACTATGCCACCTCCTTTGCTTCTAAAACGGAGGATGCCGAGTTGAAGAGGGCTGACACTTGGCAGACTGAAGGACAGCCTCGGATGGAAAATTGTAATTCGTCTGCCTTGCTTGGAAGTGGGCACTGACAGGGTCAGGAGAGCTCTGGGTGCTCTTGTTGATGGGAGACGATCCTGCCTCTGAACTCACCACTCATCACCTCTCCCTTCTGGTTTATGGAGAAGCAGATGCCACGTGAGCTGCGTGTCTTTCCCCCCTGCTCCTTTCTCTTCAGTCTTCCCCATTCCCAGCCCGGCTCTCCGCACAGTGAGTTCATGCCTTTCCCTCACAGCCCAGGGCCTGGAGCGCCCGGACACCCGGCCCTGCTGAGGACAGGCGCCCAGGGCCTGCACCCAGAGGCTGCGGCCTGAGCAGAGAGCCATTTCACAGCTTTGGTTAATCCAGAGCAGCCAGTTCTGGGGAGAGCACCAGAGCGTAAAATCAACTAGGAACCTTCTAGCTGCCCATCCAGCCTAAGACCAAAGGGAATGGTGAGGGCTTAGGGCAGCAACCAAAACCCCGTGGTGGCCCTGGAAAAGAAAGCCTCAAAGAGCTTGCTATTCTGAGGGTAAAACACCCTCCCTTGAGAAATTTGAAGTTGTTGTGCTACCACTGTTATTACTACTACACACCCCTCACTCACTACCTGAGTCCAACTACCATGTCGCGTGGCCTTGGGTACAGAGGCACGGCCTAACACGAAATGACCAAGCACGAGAGCACATGAAAACAAACAGCGAAGCAGCCTAGGAGGAGAGGTTGGAGGAAGCCCTGTGAACAAGACCCGGCAGGCGAGGAAAGCCCCAAGGACCCCTTCAGCCCCCACTGTTGGCATACCTACTGCCTGACAACGCGTTCAGCTGGGGCAGAAACATTTTTATCTCAAAAGTCAGAGAGGGCATAGAGGCAACCACCCTAAGGGTCAAATTCAGGGCTGGCAGGTTCCTGGTTATTGTGCTTGTTTGTGTCTGGGTGTGCTCCAGCCCTCTCAGCTCACACAGCTGTGTTTTACCCTTAGCTGTGTTCCTCACTCCTCAGGCCCAGCATCCCAACCTCATCTATACATTGGACCCACCTGTGGAGTAGTTAAAAAACTGATGCCTTGAGTTCCAACCCCAAGATGTTCTGGGGCGGGACCCAGACATTCGGGTTTCTTTAACTCCCCAGGTGATTCCATTGAACAACCAAGGGTGAGAGCCTCTGTCTTAGACCACTGTCTTAGACCATCTTTTTTCAAAGTCTGGTCCACGGGCCACTACACACCTGGGAGCTTATTAAAAATGCAGACTTCTGCATCCCACCCCAGATCTATTAGATCAGCATCTCTGGGTGTGGAACCTGGGAATTAGCACTTATAACAGGCTTTCCGGGTGATCCCTGCACATCCTCAACTTTCATAATAAACGCTGCTCAGGGAACATTCCTCACCCCAGAAGTGCCCAGGGCTATGAAGGGTCCTTACTGATTGTGTTCTATTTGGTTTGCCGAGGGCAACAGGAAATCTCACACCAGCCCCCAAATGGGTTAATACTCATGTGGGGCTGAAAGGCCACTCAGGGATGGAGAGCAATCCTAAAAGTCACAGCTCTGCCCGGCCTACTGCATGGCTTGCCTTGAGCCTTTAAAGGTCCCAAGCACAGAGCAAGCCTTGTGCCCTGAAGGCAGTCCAGAGCACAAGCCCGGCGTGAGGAACCCAGGAAGACGTGGAGAAGCGGCCACTGTGGGTGCCCACCAAACGAGGCGGGGTACGGCTTGTGGAGAGGCTGAGGGAGAGGGCGGGGCAGGGCGATGTGGAAGGTCAGGGATGAGGTATGCTTAGATATTGCTCTAGATGTTGTAAACATATCTGTTTGTTTCGTCACAGACCAAAATCTCGGTTGGCATGACCAAAGTGCCTGAAAGTAGCATCAGAGCAGAGAGCTCTGTGCCTCCTGGTGGAAGCAGGACATAAAGGGTGTGAGGAAAGCTCCACCCATGGGAAGACCATCTCTGTGGTGTGTACTAGTCTAGTGCTTATAATTCTTTCTGTCTCTCACACACACACACACACACACACACACACACACTCCACGGGAGTACCATAAACATAACTATCACGTTCCTCTACACGCGAACATATGCCCACAGACGCTCACTTAGCGGCAAATCTCGCGATACCCAAGCTGGGTCCTTCACACCTCCCCATCGCGGGAGGAAGTCACCAGGTGCCATGACACCACCATCTGCATCCTTCGTTCCACCAATAGTTGGCAAGAACTCTAGGCCCCAGAGAAGGCGACCGCAAAACACTCTTGTTCAGACTTTTCTCCTGGGGACAGCGGAAGTGGTAAAAAGGCCCCTCTTAGGACGTTTCAGGTCTCCATAACTCTGTGCTGTTCCCATTTATAGGCACCTCCTAGTGGACAGTAGAGTTGGCAGCAGACGTACATTTCATATGTAAACAACATTGAAAATACCCTGTTCCGGAATTTGATCATTAAAGTAATTCTAGCAGCTTAAACTAAGGATGGTTTTTCACCAGTGGGGGTGGGGGAATACTACCTGACCTAACTAGGAACACCCACATGAGGCTGCAGAGTTCTTGAACTTGAAATTCCACAGGTCTCTTCAGGAGGCCTGTGTTCTCTCTCTCCTCGATGGTTCGTACAGACACGTCAGCCCTCACTAACAGATACTCACAGATACACGGCGGGGCAGCGGACCCTAACAGCCCGTGGGACTCAAGAGCCTTCTTGGCTTTGTCTAGCTGCAGCCAAGGAAGGAAGAGATTCATAAAGTTACTGGACAGAAATGCAAGCCCTGGAACACCCGCACATCTAAAAAGGCTCATCCCCGCTACACGAGGAGACTGCTCCAGCCCAATTTTCAACCACCTGCCTTCCAGAGCTTACATCTAATCATGTGATGTTTCATTTAGTCAAAAAGCTGAAAGTCTTGGAGATCTGCAGTGAATCCAAATCCATCGGCTGTGAGTTACCCCGATAGTACCCCCAGCACGTTCTCTGTGATTCAGTCCACCCAGGGACCAGCCTCTCCCAGGCTCCTCTCCCACATTCTGGTCTCTCTGCTGAGGATTCATCTCCTCAGCACTGCAGTCTTGGGCCAAAGTCAGCTTTTTCCCGGGCAGCTGGAGTAAGTTTCCTGTGTCTTGCTCATCCTCCAGGGAAAAGTTTCCTGATGTATTTCCAAAAGCAGCACCGGGATACCATGAAGATGTCTTAGGAAGGTTCTCTACAACCAGATGTTCACAGTGATCTTCTTAGCCTCACCTCCTGTTCCACGTTCAATCCCAAAAAGTCAAGAAGGAAGCTGTTGATCAGCCAAGATGGCCCTCACGAGAGGAACCTTTCTAAAAAAGCATGCTCCCAGGAAGCAAGCTGGAAAGAGAATTACAGCCTAAGTTCCCATTCTCCCCCATCGGAATTACATGACCTGCATGAAGGGGGGAAGAGGGAGAGACAGGAAAAGTATTAGGCACTGTGAGAGCTGTCCATGCTAAGGGAATTCACCTCCCTTTACCAAGCCATCCATCGTTCTAAGAGATCAGTGATGTGTGATACCACGGGGAGGTGAGGGCAGAGAATACATTAAGCAACAGAGAGGTTATATGGTGGCCCCACTGCACAAAAATCTACTGGTGCTCCATTCCCTGCTCATTCAACTTCGGGAAAACTTCTTGGTAGAACTGAGGAAGATTTGCAAGCTGTCTCTTTCTCAATAGCAGTTCCACATCAGAAGTGGTGAAGGACATCTCCCAAGACCCTTTCTGGAATTGCAAGGGTATGGGAGTCTTGTGAATCTCCAACTCCATGGAGTGTGCCCCTTCTCTCAGAGGCCACCTATCAGTGACAGTGCTAGAAACCTGGGATTCCACCGAGACCTCTCTCCTAAACCGTGAGGTCCCAGCACGTGGGACCGGCTATTACATTGTGATGGCAAATCACAAACGTAAGCCAGAGTCTTCTAGCTCTTCCTCCCAAGAGTATAGGACAAGTTAGAGAGTCGAGAGTCCTAACTGAGGAGGGTGTGGAAGTGGTGGAAGTTGCATTTGCATTATTTACAGATTAGCCCAGCATGGCATATCTGCCTTCTCAGTGGAGATGACCCAAGGCATTATGGAGGGCAAGTTGCCGACCCAGAGAAGGGTGACAGTGACAAGGTGCTACCACTAACCAAAACACAAACATGGGTTAATGGAATACAGTCCGAGCTCTGGTGGCTGGATCATACTTTGGAATGGCCCTTCATCCCTTCCTCACTCCCGGGCTCCCAACCTAAATGCCACTGCTTTTGAACACCTATGACATTTCACATTAGAATATGGTCTTGGCAGCAAGGGGAGGGGAAAGCCGGTGATCTCCAAGAGTCCCCATCTGAGGTCTAACTGAGCCGCCTCTGGCTCTGGGACAGCAAATCTAAGTACATTTTGGACCTCAGGAACCGGGGGTAAGAGTCTTTCTCCATGAGACTGTGTACTTTTCCCTGGGCTTGGTCAAAGCAAGTCAGGGATGGTTCCTGCATGTTCTTCCTTGTGGCTTCTCGGGTCTGGAAGTCTATGTTTACCTGGAGACACAAACAGAGAGCACAGTCACAGGCCCTCAAGGGCCAATTATTATATTAATAATTATTAATAAACTGCTTTCCTGAAGGTCATCCCTTTTGATCCCAGGATGAATCCTGTGAGGTCTGAAGACCAGATATTCTTCGTCCCAATTTATAGATAAAGATACTGAAGAAAAGGGGTACTAAACAGCTGGTCTAATTTACTCTGGAAAGTTAGTAACAGCCAAGGCAAAACCCCAAATTACTCAACTCTTAATCCATGGGTCTTTGCAATGTCAGGCAGAGTCAAACCAGAGACAAGCATGAATGTGGGTTCCCTAAAGTAAGCTTGCTCTTTTGTCCTTTCTCAGCTGCTAAGGAAACAAATACCCCAGGGAGAAAGGCTATGTTTAGAATGTACATCTCTGTTCCAACCACATGTATAAGGAGCCTGCAGCTTTCTGGCCACGGGCCAAAGACCTCCTGCATCCCAAGTCAAAGCATAATTGAAGAGTTTTAGGTATAGAATGCACCTAAACTCATAGACAACAAATATTTGTCTCCTATAAAACTCTCCCAGGTAAAACTCTGTTTTATAACTCAGAATAGCAGTACATAGAAATTCATATTATTATTATAAGTAATTATAATAAATGATCATAAAATAATATAAATGACTATAATTACTCATTAATAAGCAGTGACAAATATTGAATAGGTGTTTGACTCCTAATACTCAGAGTGGTCTTGAAAGGTGATATTATAGCCTTTTACATTGGGGAAAATGTGATTCAGAAAGACCAGGTAACTTGACCAAGATCACACAACGAGTAAGTAGTGGAGCTGATATTGGAACAAGATTCCAAAGTACATGCTCATTCCATGCTGCCTTCCACTAGGAAAACTAACATGGACTTACTGGCGTCTATCTTGCAGAATCCCTATAGAAACACAGTTCCTGCTGGACATGTTTAACTGACAGATAGCTAAAATACTCCCAATAGAGCTCCTTTTTATAGAATCCTTGGGCTCTGCACCTTAAAAGGGATCCCTTTTGTATCCAGAGCCATCAGAGCAGTGAGGTTCATTTCAGAAGAAAGTCCCCATCAAACCTGGCTCAAACCCCAGCAAGGAGAGAAAGCAATGGATGGGGGTCTGACAAGACCCCACCGCCAACACACCTCCCGCGGAGCCTGCACATCCACAAACTCTTCAAAGATCCTATGGGCCTTGGAGACCAGTTTTGCAGTTGACCTGGTCTTCTTGAACTCCTCACAGGCCAACCAGAACTCCAGGTTCTCTTCACTGAACTCCGTCTTCAGGAAGGCGCGGAACGCAGCCACCCCATCTGTGGACGTGGAGGGAAGTGGAAAGGAAGGGAAATAGGAAGAGGCTTAAGTCCAAGAACTGTAGAAGAAAGAAAGGTAGTCGTAACACAAGAGTGGCCCTGATTGTCCAGCCCTCACTGCTCTCCTCCAAATCCTCTTGAAGACTCCATTCTCTTAAACACACAGGTGCCGTCAGAGGCAAGCCATGCTTTTCATTCAAGGATCATAGTGATATTCTGGAGAAATGTTTAGGAAGCCATAGGAATAATGACTATGGGAAGGCCTGGTCGCTTCTAATCAGCCCTCGGTGGTGACTGCCTGTCCCCTAATGCAGAGTTGGCTGTCCCCTGGGTCTACTGGTGAGCCTGTGTTTCTAATGAGGCCAAAGTAATATACGTAATCCATTCCCTGCACCAATCCAAGTCAACCAACCTGAAAAAACAATCTGTCACAAGACAAACTGATGGGGGGGTGGTGGGGAGTGAATGCCTCAGGGCAAATCCTTCACTATTATCAGAAAAATGTCTGAAAGTAAACACCTACTGAAATGCAGTCTGTAAAACCATTCTGTTATGTGGAAGGGGTTCTCAGACTCTTTTAAAAAACTTTTGAGGCCCCATAGTTTAATGATTAATTCCATGGATGCTTTATTTTAAAAGATCTTGCCTATCAAATTATACATTTTAATTAAGACGAATTATAATTTTTCTAGTAAATGAGTTAATGATTAACATAGCCTTGCATTTTTCTTAATCAATGTCACGCATACTGCCAAACAGAGCTTCCAATCGGAATAAGATGAGCAGTGTTATCACATAGATTTGGAAAGGGAAACAACATTCATTGATAGCCTATGTATTCAGTTGATGTTTTTTATATTAAAATAGTTTGATAAATTATCTTAACCTTTAACGCATGCTCCTCAAATCAAATAAGAGCTCTAGCTTTCTACCAACTGTCCTCAGAGGAAGGACAGATACAGCCTAAAATAAAGGAGTGACTGCATTGGTTAAAAATGACTCTGGCTGGGGGCTTCCCTGGTGGTGCAGTAGTTTAAAATCCACCTGCCAATGTAGGGGACACGGGTTCGAGCTCTGGTCCAGGAAGATCCCACATGCCGTGGAGCAACTAAGCTGGTGCACCATAACTACTCAGCCTGCACTCTAGAGCCCACGAGCCACAACTGCTGAGCCCACATGCCACAACTACTGAAGCCCGCGCACCTAGAGCCCGTGCTCCGCAACAAGAGAAGCCACGACAATGAGAAGCCCATGCGCGGCAACGAAGACCCAACACAGCCAAAAATAATAAATAAATAAAATTAATTAATTTTAAAAAAAGACTCTGGCTATAATGTTTTATTTCTTTTCTAAAATTTACTAGAAGGACAATATGTTAACAGTTCTTTATTCTGGGTGATGGACTCCCCTGAGCATCGAAGGTCCATCCATAGGTGCTAGGCCCAGGCACTGTCCACCATCATTCCATGGACTGATGGCGCCATGTGGTTGACATATTTAACTGTTTGTTTTTACTTTTCTGAAACATTTTTATTTCTCCTAATTAAAAAGTCATTGTTTATCTTTCAAAATAGACATCGTAATGCCCACACTAGAACCACAGTTATAAAAGTCAAGACTTTTAATTGTAAGAGCCAGGAACTTGGGAGAGAAAAGGGTGTTGATGAAAATCCCAAAGCTAAACCTTAAATCACAAAGAAATCTAAGTTTGGAGGCCTGAGTTTAAAGTGTTTAACAAAAGTAGGGGTGGCCATGAAATTTATCACCCCAGCCAGGACATTTCTGGGAGTCAAGGGGGCCACTTCTGTTAATTACACAGGGACAACAGACATAAACCATGACCACCATAGGCAAAAACCAGGACACTTGGTCACCTTAACAGTAAGACAAGGAGTCAGGAGAAAGCAGAATATGATATAAGGTTGTTTCCCATCAGGCAGGTTGGAAATAAAACCGTCCCTGTGCCAGGCAGGAGGAGAGTAACACAGTTTAGACTCATACGAAAGGTCTGCTCAGTGCCCCACTGCCCCTCCTTCCTGCACTGGGTTCAAAACGCTGAGAGGAGGGCACAGAAATCCAAGATAAATTAAGAATCAAAGTGAGTGTGAAGCAGTGGTGTGGCACTAATTAGGCAGAGAGATGTTCTGAAAAGCATTCATTCAATTCAACAATTAAAAAAAAACAAACTACTCATGAACAAAGCACTGTTCAAAATCTTAGGATACATCAGAGAACAAATCATAAAATCGCTGTCCATAAAATCCCTCGTGGGTGCTCTTTTTGCCATGTCTTGTCTCCTCCAAGTTCTCATAGAGGAGCTCTAGAAGTTTCCTCAGGCTCTAAAAGAACAGGGGTTTGAGAGCTAGCATGCCCATCAGAGGCTACAGGCAGAGGTGGGAGGGAAAACCACCTGCAGCTGCGGAAGCCTCTGAGGAGACTCAGTGCCCGGGAGAGCCAAGGGGCGTGGGCGGGGCTACTTCCGCAAGGTGGCCTCGGAGCAATGACCAATACACAGGTGACAAGAGCCAGGGACACGATCCATGACACAGGGAGGACACGGGCCAGAGGCCCTCCCCTGCTGCCTTCCCTCTGCAGTCAGGGTGTGGGAAGGAAAAGGCGCGGGGCTGGGGAAACCCTAAAACACTATGCGTTTATCTAAAGGGGCAAATGTAAAGTGACTCAGAAGAGTGACTCTGAAGAGCCTGTTGTTTTTAAACCTGAATTGAAAACTTTGTTTGCTGTTTGTGTTAGATTTTGTTGTGCTTTCCATCAGGCAAAAATGGGTGCTTGTGAGCAAGCTGAGATGGAGAAAATTACCTCTCTGCCTTCCTCGATGCTATTACTGAGGATCGCCCTGCTAGGGAAACTGTGTGGCCTCACCCTACCCAAGGTACAGACATTATCTCCTTGCATCAGATCTCAGCTTTGCTGGGTCTTTGTGTGGATTAAAGGAGATAACACCTGCAGAGTATCCTCAGGAACGTTGCTTTACTTCTTCCCACTTTACAGATGAGGAAAACATGCTTAGAGAAGTGGATTGGCTGAGTTCACACAAGTAATAATATGCAGCATTTAAAAACGTAAGATAGGGCTTCCCTGGTGGCACAGTGGTTGAGAGTCCGCCTGCCGATGCAGGGGACACGGGTTCGTGCCCCGGTGCGGGAAGATCCCACATGCCGCGGAGCAGCTGGGCCCGTGAGCCATGGCCACTGAGCCTGCGCGTCCGGAGCCTGTGCTCTGCAACGGGAGAGGCCACAACAGTGAGAGGCCCGTGTACCGAAACAAACAAACAAACAAACAAACAAAAAACCAAAAGATAGCCTAACTACCAATCCAACACAGCAGTAAGGCCATCTCCACTCATTCATTCATTCATTCATTCACCCATTATGTGACCCAGGCATTCTGCTAGCAGCCTGGGCACAAAGCACAGGCACAACTAAGTGCTCACAGAACTTTCAGTAAAAGAGCAATTTGAGCCAAGATAACATAATTACGGTAATTATGGTATAGATGATAAGTGATATGCTAGGGAAAGCGTAGGTGGCTGTGAAAGTACCCGGGGTGGGGGCGCCTGAGCCAGAGCTGAGGAGGAGAGGGAAGTCTTATAGGAGGAAGAAGCTTCTAGGCTGAGATGTGAAGCTGAGGAGAAGGAAGCTAAGTGAAAAAGGAAGGGAAAGAGGAAGAAGAGACTTGCAGAAAGGGGGAACCACAGGCACGGAGGCCTACAATTAAGAAAGGTTTATTTGAGTAACCAGAAATAGTTTAGTAAGACTAGTGTTTAATAATAATAACAATAATGCTAAAATTATTGAGCCTACCTGTAGGATAGACATACACCAAGAGGCCTGTGAAAGAGCCAGAGACAGAGGGATAACACAGCATTCCAAAAGGCCAGGGAAGGGAACATTTCAGGTAGGAAGTGGCCACTGTGTCCAGCGCTACCCAGAGGTCACAAGATAGATACGGTCTGAGAAGCGGTGGTCTTTAGACTCGGTGACAAGGTTCCGCAACCACTAGCAAGAACAGTCTTCGTGGTGTGATGAGAGCCCTAGTCATATTGTGGTAAGTATAGTGGGGAATGAGGGGGGAAGATGTTGAAACAATGAATTCAGATGCCTCTTGCAAGAAGGGGAGTAGAGAGATCAGACAGCACAGCTGGAGGGAAACAAGGAGTCAGGAAAATGGTCTGGGGTGTGTGTGTATGTGTGTCTGTGTGTGTGTGTGTGTGTGTCGTGGGGTTTTTGTAAGATAGCCTTGGGTATGATTAAACGTTAATCTGGCCAGAAAAGACTTGTTGAGCTGGAGGAGTTGAAGTTAACGAAAAGAAAGTTTCATTGATAATATGTTGCCTCCAGGAAGGTAGGAGAAATAGGCCTGAGAACAGCGTTGTGATGGAGAAAAAGAGGAAAGGCTGCGTGTAGATGCAGGAAAGTTTCTAGTGTGGGTGCAGGATGTTGAAGGAGTTCCCATCTGATATTAGCTGGAGAAAGTGGTAGGAAATGGAAATGATACCGTTTTTATTTATTTGTTTAGGATCTGGGGCAGGGAGTTTTATTTATTTACTATACGCCATGATTTTTGCTGGAGATTTTACAAACAGCAGCTCAATTTATTTTCACAGCAACTCTGATCCATAGATAGCACAAATGATCCACTCTCATTTTCCACAGGAAGAAACTAAAACTTACAAAGTCAGATGAATTTTCCAGTCCACAGCTGGCAAGAACAGCCAAGTTTCCCTACTGTCCATATGACTCTGAAGCAAGATCTTTCCAGGTGTGTTTGCAAGCAGAAGGGAAAGAGCAAGGGAAGAGAGCAATTAAAGGGGCAAAAGAACAGTATCTGTTAAAGGTAGATTCTAAAGAAGGAAAGGGTTCAAGAAGAAGTGGATGAACTTGACTTCCTGAAAGTCAAAAGTAGAGAAAGAGGGCTTCCCTGGTGGTGCAGTGGTTGACAGTCTGCCTGCCGATGCAGGGGACACGGGTTCGTGCCCCGAT